TTTACATCACTTTTCCACTAGACAAACTTTGTTAATCATTATTTAAATTGGATATTTCTTCCTGAAAACTGCTACTGGCCATCTTCATAAATCAGTCTTTCTCAACATTAATTCCTCAGATATGTCAAAATTATAGTTCTCATTGCCTATATAAGGTGAGGATGATGGAAATTATAATCAAGCACTTTTCTCAATCAAGATTGGGAAACACTGCCATTGGCCACTGTTTCTTGGAGCTACCTGGGTCAATATGTCCCTCAGCAGAAGCAGGAATGGACTCAAACTCAAGACCAAGTTGATTCATATCCCCTACTTTACTGTCAATGTGCAGTTGCATATAGATCTACTTTAGTGTGCAAATATATATCTTCAAAACAGTTAACACTCATATTATATTCAAGGAAAAATAATGCTATTTTAAGGTTATAATTCTATACTCATGACATGGGTATTCATAGTCATAGGTTAAAAAAAAGTCTAAATAGCACAACATGATCAAAACTTTACACCCTGAGAAAAAGGAATATTTGTGTTTCTTATCTAAAGAACATAGCATACTTGGGACTTGGAGTAGTTGAAATCTAATTAATAAAAAAATTAGGTTACAAAAATTTCTAAAAGCTCAGATTTATACTGAAGAAGTCCTGCAGAATACAGGTAGCCCTCAACTTACAAACACAACTGAACCCAAAATTTGTTAAGTGAGATATTGGTTAAGTGAGTTTTGTCCCATTTTATGTCATTTCTTGTCACAGTTGTTAAGAGAATTGCAGCAGTTGATAACTTAGTAACACGGTTTTATGTGAATCTGACTTCCCCATTGATTTTGCTTGTCAAAAGGTTGCAAAAGATGTTCACATGATCTTGGGACACAGCAACAGTTATGAGTTAGTTGCCAAGCATCTGAATTTTGATCACATGATCATGGGGATGCTACAAAGGTCATAAGTGTGAAAAACAGTCAAGTCACTTTTTTCAGTGCGGTTGTAACTTTGAATGGTCACTAAATGAACTGTTGTAAATCGAAGACCACCTGTAATCCCTAAAGACTATTCCTAATTCTAAGACGTCAACTTCAGAAATAGTCTCTCGAATTTCCAAAGTGTTCATACAAACATCTTATTTTCTTTATTTTTTTTTTGTTATTTCTAACATATCTTGGTGGCTTATTTTATCTCTAGTAAGAGTACACCAGTAAGTACTGTATAATGGGTTAATTATTTGTGCATTAAAACACTCTATGATCATATAATAGATCCTATATTTAGTTACTGATTGAGACTTCAAACAATTTAAGTGACTATAGTACTGTCAGCTTGGAGAAATAAATTGTTCTTAAAACCAAGCTTCATGTAGAAGAAAGTTACCATAATTGTCAACTGGAAAATACTTAAATACAATTGAACCCAAATTGACAATCTCTTTCTTACTGAAGCAATTTTCTAGTACCATTAACCTTAAAACACTGATAAAAATTCAGCAATGGAATTCTGCACATAATCTAATATCTTACAGTATATAGAGTGTTCATATCTTCCTTTTCGATTGGGAGTCACATCTTATGATAAAGATGATAGTTAAAATGCCTATGTTATGGGCCTTGAACAACATTTCAGGAATGCACCAATCCGGCAGGCAGAACACTTTAAAATTAGGATATACCTCTGTGGCTGGCTTTTGCAGAGTCTCACATTGGCTCACCAAGCCTTAGTCGGACTAGAGACCCAGCTGAATCCTTGTTATAGCAACAGATCAATGATCTAATAATGGTGTATTATATATTAATTATATCCACTACATTCATAAAACTTGCTAAATAAAAGCATGGGTGGCTTGTTCGTGGTTTATTATCTTATGCGAAAACTACCTAACCACATTGCCCAATGCTGGTGTGTTGGTTGGATGAGATAAGGCCTTTAATTTGTCAATTAACATTTTGCATATTTAGAATGTAAAAACTTATTTGATTATTACTGTAGCAGCAAGAAAGCATGGTACATATATTTAAGGTACAACATTATCCTTCAAGTTCTAATACTAAACAAATATTCAAAATGGACAGGGACTCAAGAAATGTTCTGAAGGCAAAACAAATCTAAAGACTAAGATTTCAGACTGAAAATTGCAATGTAGGCTCATGACATTTCACATTTTAATTTCAAATACCAATTGCACCCATTATCAAACTGGATAAGGAAGACATAGATGCTGTCCTTTAGTGTGTTCCAGGAACAATGATATCCAAATGAAAGTTGTGGTGGATTCCTCCTAAATTAACTGTAAAGTATATAATGTCAGACCTGGAAGTCATCTTTTACATTTGGGCCTTCAGGCCTGCCACATTTTCTACTGGGGGAAAGTCAATATAAAATGTTTTATAGATGGCATATGCCCCCTGAGAAACTGGCAAAAAATGTTTAAAGATAAATCAGCTAAATGTTGGAAATGCCACCAGTTACCAGGTTCATATTACCACATGTGGTGGATATGCCCTGAAGCAAAAAGCTACTGGAATAAAATTAAGTTATGGGTGGAGGAAATGATACAACAACGTAGACTTAAAATCAGAACTATTCCTATTGGGTATCTTACCAGAGAAAATTAGTAAAGATAAAATATATTTGATTATACAGGTAATAACAGTGGCAAGGATTGTTTATGCACAAAATTGGAAAGTAGAGAATATACTTTCGGAGGGAGAAGTAATTTAAAAATGTTTAGATTGTGCAGAAATGAATAGATTAACTATGATGATAAAGGAAAGAGAAGATTCAGAATATTTTAAGATATGGAATAAATTTTATTATTGGTAAGAAAAGAGATACAAATAAGTTCTTGAAAAGAGATTGGAAAAAAATTGTTGTAATTACAATATTATATTAGTGGAAAAGTTTTGTAATGGACTTGGTGAGATTGAAGACAGAAGAGGTAGAGAAGAGAAGAAACTTTTGAAGATAACACCAAAATGTCACATGGAAGAAATGAATGATGTACTAAATGTTTGTTTAAATGTTTAAATGTTTTAAAAAATAAAAAAATGTTTAAAAAAATAATTTTTTTAAAAAAAAATTAAAAATGTTTTAAAAAAACTTTTTTTTTTAAAAAAAGGACGAATGCAGTGCCAATGGATGTCAGCCCCGGTCCAGCAACTGATGCCTCCCCAGCCACTCGGTCCTTTACAGCAACTGACCATGACTTCACAACAAGCACCTGTCCAGCTGCAGCCACAACTGCAGCCCCAGGTCATAATCGCGAACAGGCTCAGGCCCAGCAGCAAGTGCCGGTGGCCCCACAGCAGGTCCCAGTCCAACAGCAGGTGCCCAGTCAACCGCCTGTGCAAGGCCAGCAAGAGGCCCAGCCCGCCGGACCTCCCTCATGGTTCCAAGCGACATTTGATGGAACCCCTGGGAAGTTAGCCTAGTTCCTCAACTGGGTCTGGGCCCATATTGACCAATATGGAAATCAATACCCATCTGACTGGGAATTGATTTCTGCCATCACTGATGGCATGAATGAGGGAGAGGTGTTGGGAGTGCATAGCTGAGCTTCATGATGAAGAAGCCCATGAGCTAGAAGATGCTGACAAGTTCATCCAACTGATGCAAACCAGATTTAGCAATGTTGCCCAGCAAGTGGAAGCAGAGACCCAGATTAAAGCCTTAAAGCAAGCCAGCAGGCCCGTGAAAGAGCTAATTTGAGAGTTTCAAAGACTAGCTGGGAAACTATGAGAGTGCCCAGAACGCCTATTGGTGCAAACCTTCAAGGAGGCTCTGGACCCAGACCTTAGGCAAGCCTGTGGCATCAGGGGAGTACTGGAACAAATACAACTGTGGTACAACACAGCTTCATTTTGGATCTGGAAATTTACCCCCACAGGAAGCCGACTGTGGATTAACCCGCCAGGAGTCTCCTGGGACGCTGAGCCCAGGTGAAAAAAGCTGAAGTGCCACCTCCCACATCGTCTGGAACTGTCAAGTGCTATGGGTGTGGCCAACATGGGCACTGGGCTGCAGAATGGTTGGCCCTGGCCCCGGTTCCCCGAACTCGACCTCCAGCCATGACTGCAACATGGAGGACCCTGCGGAAGCTGCCCAACAAAGGACAATTCACTAGACAGGCTATGGAAGTTCCGCTCCTCCAAAATGAACTCCAACCAGCGAAACTCCTCCAGTCCCCATAGGGGAAAGCAGCAGTGATGACAACCCAATGGTAAGTGCAGCCATCCACCCCTTTACCGTCAAAACCAAGATAACAGTGCCAGAAACCAGTGTCCAAGGGGAAATAGGGCCCGTCATAGACATGGGCTGCACATAATGTTTAATCAGCCTCCCCATAATTGAACAATTAGGCATACACACGAGACCCCTAGCATGCCCTATCCGCTTTGAGCAGGTTGATGGGACACTAATCGGCAGGACTCTTAGTACTGCTTAGAATGCAGTACTGACAGCTACTTCTACTGACAGCTCACTGACTGCAGTTTGGCAGTTCAAATCTCACCCAGCTCAAGGTTGACTCAGCCTTCCATCCTTCCAAGGTCGGTAAAATGAGGACCCAGATTGTTGGGGGCAATATCCTGACTCTGTAAACCGCTTAGAGCGGGCTGTGAAGCAGTATATAAGTCTAAGTGCTTATTGCTAATTATTTTTAAAAAGGCTATTATTTTATTGTCATTGTTAGGGAAAAATTTTGAACCCTAGAAATAGCAAACACTCCACAACACGAAGTAGTTTTGGATGAGAGAGGGGGGGGCGCAATAGGAGAAGACCATTTATTCAATTTAATTCTAAAAGCACGGATAAAATCAAGCCATCGAAGAACAAAAAGTACTTTGAAGCGCCAGCACCGGCCTTTCTCTCATCGTAAGAAGCATAGAAAGGTTGCTCCAGCTCTTTGGAACCAATAAGAAGCGTTGGAGGGTAGGGACTATCGTGTGCTTAGCCAATGGGCAGAATCGTCATGATTGTTGTAGGATGTTTCGGTCTGAATAAGGAAGTGGTGTGGACGGAGCAGGATGGTTGCAGTCTAGAGCTGGGAAAGGGGTGGGAATTCAGGGTTGTTAGGGGACTTCATGGGTAGTTAGTGATGTTTGTGCCGTAGAGAAAGCCCAGGCGAGGCGAAAGGAAGGAGGCTTTCTATACAGCAGTTTCTTGAATCAAGTGATTTGTGGTAAGGAATACGTGTGTTAAGTGAGGAACCGGGAATCAAGAAGATGGGTGTGTGTGTGTGTGGTAGGGTTGAATTGGTTCTTTCTCCTCAGAATCAGTGATCAGTATGTGCTTAATATTGGAATATGCAAGAACCGGAAATAAAACATGACAGTGATATCTTAATTTCAGTTCTCACTCTGAGGAATTGGCTAATCCTTTGTGGATCTTCTCTCTTCTTCTTTTGTTTTTTAAAAAAGGAAGGAATGTTTTGGGAACTTGGTCTCTCATCTTCTTGAGTCTGAAAGATTGAGAAAATATAAGGAAAGGTGGCTAAACGAATTGATGTCTTTTCTGCTCTTCTGTATTATAGCCACCCAGCATCAACAGAACATTAAACTTGCAGCAAATGAGTTATCCCTGTTACTAATTCCTGCCCTATCTCTGTTGCTTCTTTTTAAGGTCAAAGCAATCATCTGGCTTCTCTTCTCTCCAAGGTAATGAGTAACAAGTCCTAACAGATTTTATATGCCCAAGATTGCACCTGGGCAGTGCCAGAATAAGAGAGATATATTGCATTGATATATGGTATCAGACTGCCTCGTTCAGAGGCCTGAAATTAGTTGAGAAAAGTGTCATTGAAGCACTTATTTGAATTTGTCTGCACAATTACTTGACTTTCGCTTAGGATGGCAAAATGCAACTAAGAAAGTCAGATGCAATTCTATTTTTTAAGATAATCTGTGGTCGTCTGGATGCTTCTGAAATACAGACTCCAGACTTCCTCACTTTGTTGACTGGAAGTTCGAGCTAGAAGCATCCAGAGGAGCATGGCTCTCCCCTTCCTGCCTATCCTTTAGATAACTCTTGTTTTCATTGTATTTGTTGTGCAATCTGTAGGAATGTTTCTGGATGTGCTTTGTCATATTAGCAGTTGAGCTATCTGAACTAGCACTTTGATATGAATTGGTTACTGGTTAGAAATGCATAGCCAAAAAGAATTCATTCTTTGTTGGGCTAAATTTCACCTTGAAACATTACAGAACAATATCACAAGATAATAAACTGACCACATATCCTATGATGAGTATGGTTATACCTCAGTAGAAAAAGATTTGTGCTATCTTTAAAAAGCTATCTCATTGCCAGGATATAAATGGAGTTGTTTGGAATTGTATGTTACATCTTATTTAGGGAGAAATTTGTTATATTTTGCAGCCTTCAGGTCTTTTTATTGAAGAGACAGACTTCCTAAAGTTCATAAAACATACTAAACCATTAAGTAGTTTCTTTAGTTTTTAGTAAGAAATCATTGTTGAGCAAATCACAGCTTTGTATTCTGGCTGAACAGAGTAATATTATGTGATGTTTTCTTCTTACAAGTTACTCATTAGTCTCTGGTTTTGATTACTATCCAATGCACACATCTTGAGAAACAATTTCAGTTCCAGCAAAAACTATAAACAATATCTGGGCCAAGAGCTATTTCTCTCCCTGTTTCCTGAATGATGTTATGGGGAGGGCAAATGCTTGGTTTCCTGTCACAGATGTCATCCAGCTGTTAAGGAAGAATTGTTTCAAGGTGTCTGTAATACCTTGAAGTGATGCCTCCTTGGGTGCCTTTGGATTCAACATTTGATCTGACTTAGAGGGCTGACAATATCTCATAGTTCTCAGACTAATGATTATAGGCTTTATAAACAACTATTGAATGGTGGAGAAAATAGATGTATTATTTGCAGGTTCAAATGTAAGAGAATTCTATGATATTCCATGTTTCTATGATTAATTAATTTGTATTGAGTGAATGTCTAATATTTTCTTTGGTTCAGTTTCAAAAGATGGAAGCCTTTATCAACCGTACTGGACCAGGTGGAGATTTGGAACTGCAAAACTGCGGAAGTGAACATTTCCTCTATTTTGCCTATGGTAGTAACTTGTTGCGGGAAAGAATAATGTTAAGAAACCCTTCTGTGGTTTTCCTTACCATAGCACAACTACTGGTTTGTACTATCTTTGACTCCTTTCCTAGATACCAATATTAGTAAGTAAGTAAGAAAGTAATACTTAAAGTTGTAACTATATAATACAAGGGCTGTATATTGAATATTTACTTCTGTCTCTGTTGAGTTTGTTTCTATGATTATTTTAACAGGGAGAAAAAAGTTTAGCAATGTTTATCTCTAATTGTTCTGTCCCCGTCTCACACACGCACACAAACAGTCAGCCAGGAGTTAATAAAATCAGCAGTCAGGAATTTCTTTGAGATAACAGCATTGGCAGCAACCCAGTAGCTGCTTGCCAAAAGCTTTATTCACAAAGGGAGGTTTTCCTCCTCCGTCGGATAAACCAAAATAAGGGCACAAAGCCAAAGAATTGCCAAGTCCACTCCATAATAAATCCAAGGAAGGCATATAACGAAGTTCCAGAAACGCAGTATGACTTGCTAGCTTTTCAGTTTTGTCCATCACAAAGCCTGAATGGCCACCACATCCCCTTTTATCCCCTGTGGGGTGTGGTCCAGTGACTCAGCTTAATCTCTGGCACGCCTCCTTCTCTGCTGCGCGCGCTTGTCTTTCCGACGCTGTCGGGGATCCAGCCAAGACTTATCTCCATCGCTGTCTAACTGCGGCTGCTCGGAAGTGCCTGGCTCTGGCTTATCTCTTCTTCTTCGGAAGACACTTGAGGCATTGCCAGAGAGGAGGGTCCTGGAGAGGGAGGCCTTGCCAACTCCTCTCCTTCATTTTCAGAGTCTTCTCCCTCCGATAAAACGGGCTCGGGGGTCGAAGTCACAACACTAATGTTTGAAAGCCAGTTAGTTGCCCAATTAGTTGTTTGTTGTTGCAAGTATTCAAAACATAGATTTCAAGTCAATTTCCACCTACAGAAATGTAGCTTGTTGTGGCTTTTTTCTTCTTGATCTCATTTCCTTCTGGAATGGTTTACCCACTGGGCTCCGGATGGCCCCCGACCTCCGCACCTTCCGCGCCGACCGAAAGACATGGCTTTTTCAGCAAATTTCCTGATCTGCCATGTATTTTAATCTGGGGATTTGGGGTTTTAAATTGGATTGTACCATTTTAATTCTATTTATTGTTGGATTGCTTATTTTGTGAGCTGCCCCGAGTCCTTCGGGAGAAGGGCGGCATATGAATATGACAAATAAATAAATAAATAAATAAATAAATAAATAAATAAATAAATAAATAAATAAATTTCTAAGTAAAAATTTCTATAGATGGAATTTTAATTAGGTATGTGTCCTAAGAAACATTTTTTTCCAATCTGCTTCTTTTGTCTTTCTAAATGTTTTATTCACTATAATATAGGAAAACAAGAAACTTAAAACTGGATATTATTGACTTTCCTGTTTTAATTCACAGGATTATAAACTTGCTTTTGGCTCTCATCAAGGGAAACCAAGTCTTCAGTGGAAAGGAGGTACAGCTACTATTGTCTATAGCCCTGGTGAAGAAGTATGGGGGATAATATGGAAAATGAATACTAGCGATTTATATTCTCTGGATAGGTGTGTTACATATAGTTCTTCCCTTGTCTATCAATGTACGCACAGTTTATATTGTTAAGATTTTATGTTGTTAAGATGTTTGTTGTATACTTCTCAAGATTTGCCCAAGCTAAAAAAAATCCTTTAATTACAGAGGTTCCAAGTACAGTACCATAGTCCTCAATTTATAATAGTTCATTTAGGGACTGTTCAAAGTTACAACACCACTGAAAAAGTGGCTTATGACCATTTTCGCACTTAAGACTGTTGCAATAGCCCCACGGTCATGTAATCACAATTCAGACTTTTGGCAACTGACTCATATTTATGATGGTTGCAGTGTCTTAGGGTCATTTGAGCTCCTTTTGTGATTTTCTGACAAGCAAAGTCAATGGGGAAGGCAGATTCACTTAACAATTGTGTTGCTAACTTAATAGCTGCAATGATTCACTTAGCAACTGTGGCAAGAAAGGTCATAAAATGGAACAAAATTCATTTAACAAATGTTTCACTTAGGATCATAAATTTTGGGCTCAATTGTGGTTGTTAGTTGAGCAATACCTCTATTGGTATCAAAATGAAATACTTACGATTACGTTAGATTAGGTTAGAATTCTTTTTTTTTTTTTATTGCAAAAGTTTTACAATTACATTTTCACCCCTTTTTCCCCCCCCGCCTCCCCCCCCAAACTTCCCTAACCCTCCCTAACCCTCCCCTCCCCCCCAGACTTCCCTATAATATATTCATACTCATAAAAAACCCTTAATATAACACTCATATATAAACTTGAACCCCTCCCTCCCCTGTATAATTTTTCTCTTTACCTCATTACATTAAAATATTTCCAATACATTATTTTCAAATAAAAGCTATTTGATACTTTCTAGTTTGATATTTGTTCTGAACATATTCTATCCACCTTTTCCATTCCCATTCATAAGTCTCTTGTGAACAATCTTTTAAATATGCTGAAATCTTCGCCATCTCTGCAAAACTGGCCATCTTCAAAGTCCATTCCTCGATAGTGGGCAAAGCTTCATTCTTCCAGTATTTACCTATCAACAATCTTGCTGCTGTTATCATATACAATATCAATTTTGTTTCACCCAATGTAAAACCCTTAACTATACCCAATAAAAACAATTGTGGAGAAAATTGAATTTTTTTCTTCAAAACATTCTGCATGACCCACCAAATTTTTATCCAAAAAGCCTTAACTTTCCTACAGGTCCACCAAACATGATAATACGTAGCATCCAAACATTCACATCTCCAACATTTTGGCTGAACATTAGGGTACATACATGACAACTTTTTGGGATCTAAATGCCATCTATAAAACATTTTATAGAAATTTTCCCTCAGGTTCTGCGACTGTGTAAATTTAACATTCTGAACCCAAATTTTTTCCCATGTTTCCAACATCACTGGTTCTTCAAAATTTTGTGCCCACTTAATCATACAATCTTTAACTAATTCAGTTTCTGAGTCCCTTTCTAGCAAAACATTATAAAGCCTTTTGATATGCATTGGACCTTTCTCTCTTATATGTCTAACCAGTTCTTCCTCGTGCAACATAATACCAGTTTTTTGGTCCTCTTTCCATTTCAATTGTAATTGATTATATTGTAACCAAGTTAAATTAATCCCTTCGTCCAACAGTGTCTGCAATGTCTTCAACTGCCATCTGCCCGCATCTGTAAAAAGAACCTCTTTGTATAAAAACCCCCCGAGTGACATTATATTTGTATTCCACAAAGTATGACCAAGATCCAGCCATAGCAGTATTTTATAATCCCATTTGAGTCGATGCTTCTTCCAAACTCTCATCAAAGAGTCTCTAAGTATATGACTTTTAAATACTTTATCAACTTTGTCATCATAAAATAAGTAAGCATGCCATCCAAATTCAAGATCAAAACTTTCTGCATTCAGTATTCCAGCCTTTTTACTTCCAAACCAATCACTTGTTAAAGTTAAAGCTGCTGCGTCATAATATAGCTGTAGGTTTGGAAGTTTAAGACCTCCTCTTTCTGGAACATCTTGCATAATTTTCAATTTCACTCTCGGCTTCTTCTCGTTCCAGACGAACTTATTCACTCCAGATTGCCAAACTTTCAATTGTTTATCACTTTTAAGCACCGGAATCATTTGAAACAAAAAAAGAAATCTTGGCAAAATATTCATCTTAACTGCTGCTATTCTTCCAAGTAGAGACAGCTGCAGTTTTTTCCAAGTCTCCATATCTTTCTGCACCTCTCGCCACAACACCTCGTAGTTATTTTGAAACAATTTCATATTTGATTCTGCAACCTGAACTCCTAGATATTTTACCTTAGGTACAGTCTCAAAACCTGCCCTCCTTTCAAGCTCATGTTTACGATCTTGTGTCATGTTTTTAGCTATCATTTTAGTCTTTTTTGGATTCAATCTAAAACCTGAAACTTTACCATAGTCTTGTATAATGTCCTTCATCAAGATTATTGATTCCATTGGTTGTGATAGGGTAACAACCAGATCATCTGCAAATGCCTTTATTCTGTAATCCTCTTGCCTAATCTTTATACCTTTCAAAATATTAGAGTCCCGTATTGTATTTAGCAAGACTTCTAGTGTTAAAATAAATAAAAGTGGGGACAACGGACATCCCTGTCTTGTTCCTTTTTCAATTTTAAACTCTGTTGTCAGACTTCCATTAATTATGATCTGTGCCTTTTGCTCTTGGTAAATTGCCGAAATCGCCTGTATAAATTGATCCCCAAAGTCCACTTTTTCAAAGTCTTTAATAGAAAATTCCAATCCACTCTATCAAAGGCCTTCTCTGCATCCAAAAAGACCAGCACTGCAGGGATCTGTTTATTCTTCTCAAGATATTCCAATAAATCTATAACTTGCCTTACATTATCCTTCATATATCTGCCCTCGATAAATCCCGCTTGATCATCATGAATCACCTTTTGAATTACTGGCATCAACCTGTTGGCTAGTACTTTCGCAAAAATTTTATAATCTGTATTCAAAAGAGATATTGGTCTATAGTTCTCTGGTTTTTTAGGACCGATTTGTTCTTTTGGTATCAAAGATATGTAAGCTGTTGTCCATGATGGGGGTATTTTACCCCCTTGCTGAATATTACAAAATAAATCTCTACGTTGTTCCACCATTTCAGCTTGCAAAGTTTTGTAATACACTGCAGTCAAGCCGTCCGTGCCAGGAGCTTTGGCTGTTTTTAACTGTTTAATTGCTACTATTATCTCCTCCTCTGTTATAGGATAATTCATTCTTTCCTTTTGTTGATCAGTAATTTTTGTAACTCTTTTATCGTTTAAATATTTTTCTATAAGTCCATTCTGCACCTCCTCTTTAGCATATAATTTAGTATAATAGTCCACAAAAGCTTCTTTAATTAATTTTTGTTGAAAAATTTCTTTCCCTCCAATATCAATACTATCAATAGTCCGTATACTTTGTTTTTTCCTCAATGTGTAAGCCAACCATCTGCCCGGTTTATTAGCGTTACAAAATGTGTTATGCTTCGCATATTGTAAATTTGTTGCAACTTGTTCCGCCATAAGCATTTGAAATTGGTCTTTCAAAAGTTTTATAGCACTACGTATTCTTTCATCTGTTGGATTTTTAATAAGTAACTGTTCTTTATTCTTTATTTCTATTTCCAATTCAGATCTTTTCTTTTGTCGGAACAGTCTATGTTTAGAGTTCATGTAGATAAGTACCCCTCTCATATAAGCTTTACTTGCATCCCACACAATTTCAATTGGGGTACCTTTATTCAAATTTATTTCAAAGAATTCTTTCAAATGCTTTTTAAATTCTGTTGTATTTTTTTCATATCTAAACAAATTCTCATTTAATCTCCAAGAACGTCTCTCAACCTTATCCATCTCAATTTCTATCCATACTGGGCTATGGTCAGTCAAAGTTCTTGAAAAAATCTTTGTTCTTTTTGTCTTAACAAGTAAATCATCTGTCAACAAAATAAAGTCAATCCTAGAGAAGGATCTGTGTCTGTCAGAAAAAAAAGTATAGTCCAATTCTTTTGGATTATGTATTCTCCAAACATCTTTTAGTTCCATATCTTCTTTCATGTCAAAAAAGGTCTGTGGTAATCTGATTCTAGACTTTGCCAAACTCTTTTTATCTAATTTAGAATCAATTACTCCATTCCAGTCTCCCATAATTAAAATAGATCTGTAATCCCATTGCAATATTTTAGTATGTAACATCTTATAGAAATAGTCCTGTTGTTGATTGGGAGCATAAATCCCAATCAGAAGAATTTGGCCATTTGCTGTAGACAGTTCAATTGCTACAAACCTACCATCTTCATCTGTTTCTATAACTTTAGCTGTTAACTTTTTATTTACATAAATTACCACACCATTCTTTTTTTGCGAAGTTGAAGATATAAAATGTGTTCCTAGTTTGGAGTTTATCAAATATTTTTGATCTTGAGTTGTGATATGCGTTTCTTGTAAACAAATTATATCATTATTAAATTGTTTCAAATATGTAAATAATTTTTCCTTTTCTGTGCTGAATTCAACCCATTAACATTCCAGGATAAACACTTAAACATCATCAGCCTCTTTCTGGAGCAAAGAGCAAAATAATTGAAGATCATCCGAAAGCTTCGATAGCTCCAATCTCTTGTGCAGTACTCTTATCTGCCTCCTTGTCTTGTCTTTCCTGTTGTTGTTGTTGCTTTTGTTTAAGTAACTTAGCTTGAGCTCGAGTTATACGTTGATCCTTAACTTCAATCATCCGAACCGGGTCCAAGATTGGAGAAGATTCCAGCAAGGGCTCATCCAGAAAACCTCCTTCTGCACCTTGCACTTCTTCTAATTCCTGCTTAGACTGTTCTTGCAGTTCTCGTTGAGGTTGCTTCTCTTCACTCTCTTTAATCTCCAAAACTGTAGATGTACGTGGAGATGGTGTTCTTTCCTTAAGAATAGTAGTGTAGAAGTGCTGTGCCTTCTCCACGGTATTCAAACGGTATCTTTCTCCCTTGTATCTGAAAATTATGCCGACTGGTGCGTCCCACCGGAAAGGTATCTGTAAATTTTGCAATTCCTTAACAAGAAAACCAAATTCTTTTCTAGCTTTCAGCATTTTAGGAGGCAATTCTTTATAAATTCCAATTCGTGAGCCCCCCACTTGTACAGAAGTGTAAAAGGATTTTTGCAGGATATCGTTTCTTATTTCTCTATCTGTAAAGTATATGACCACATCTCTAGGTAATTGTCTTTGTCTGGCCACCCAAGAGTTCACTCTGTAAATTTTATCTATTTTGTGAAAAACCACATCTGGATTGACTTGTAAAATCTTAGCCAGGGCCTCAGAACAAACTTGTCTCAAATCCTGTCTTTCCTCCTCTCGAATTCCTCGAAGCCGTATAGCAAACTCCATTGCCCTGAATTGTATCATGACAATCTCGTTTTCAACTCTTTGCATTTTATTATCAACATCAGCAATTTTATAATCATTGTCTTTCATCTTAACATTAACTTCTGATTTAAGTTCTTCAACTTTATAATCAACTTTCCCAATAAATTCTGCCAGGCCAGATGCCACTTCTGATATTTTTTTGGTCACCTTGTTTTGATTCTGTTTCACCATATCTTTAACTTCATTAATTTCCTGCATAAACTCCTGATGTGATTTTTGAAGTTTATCATCTATCTCCTGATGTGATTTTTGAAGTTTATCATCTATCTCCTGTTGAGATTTTTGAAATTTATCATCCAAAGTTTTAGAAATAAATTCTTTTAAATCTCCCACATCAAATTCTTTTTTCTGAGTCTGTAACTGTTGAGCAGGGGGAAGCTGCGTTTCATGTTTGTGTGTGGGGGATCCCCCCCCTGTTGCCTTCCCTTCCTGCTTCTTTGAGGCCATCCTGCCACGTAGGCTAGTTTTTCTGAAGAGGGAAGTTCCTTTTCCTTTCCCTCCTGCACAAAGACTTCTAAAAAAGTCCCCCAGATTTAGTCAAATAAAACTGAAGTAAAACAAAGTCAAATTTTTAGAAAAAGAAATTTTTTCTTTAGGTAAAGCAACTTTGTAGCAGCTTTGTAGCTTTATAGCAAAGCAGGAAGGCTTCACAAATCCACTTTCACTAGCTCGTTAACTCAAATGCTGGGCGCCATATTTTTTCAAATCACTTTCACTCACTCGCTTTCTCTTTTGAATTAAAAAGTCAACAAAGCACTAATACTTGCAATTTTCAAGTTTCTGGATTCAAGTTGGTATTTCCGCTGTTTGTTAGGGTTAGTTCCTTTCACTTTAAAAGTTTGCTGCTGCTGGCTTGTTCTGCTGAAGGCAGAATCGTCCCACGCCGCCCGGAGTCTCCGCAGGTTAAGAGGGAGCCGCGCCTGTTTTCTCCCCCAGAAACAATTCCCTGGGGGGTTACAGGGGCTCAACCTGTGCCCTGCTGTCTCTGCTCCTACAATCTTCAAGATTTCGGAGTTTTCGAGCCGCTCCTCGTTCGCGGGGCGGCTCTACAGGCGGCGGGGCTGGCGGTCTTTAAAAAAACACCGCCGTCGCCGAAGCTTGCAAACCGGAAGTCCAGGTTAGAATTCTTTATTGGCCAAGTGTGATTGGACACACAAGGAATTTGTCTTTGGTGCATATACTCTCAGTGTACATAAAAAGAAAAGATACATTCGTTAAGAATCATAAGGATGCTGGTCTCATCTCCATTTGAGCAAAGCTAGAGTTTTAGTGGATTATTATGTAATAGGATTCCAAGGAGCAATTCTTTAAAAAAGTATATTAAAAATGTTTTTTTTTCTTTTGTTCTTTCATGTACATGTAGTACTAAGTTTTCATTTAGCAGCTGAGATAGCTATTTCCTGAATGCAGCCTTAACTATTCAAAATTGGACTTTGTTTGCATATTCAGTTTCAAGAATGATTGAAAAGGGTAATCTTTTAAGTCACATACAAAGGGATGTTACTTAATTATTTGCTGAAGAAATAGCTGCTTCCAGGGGGTATATATTTGCTCTTATTTTAGTTATTTACTTGCCATGGCATTTCTTTCTCCATTTCAGACAAGAAGGAGTAGAAAATGGCATTTATATTCCAATTGAAGTAACAATTCAGACTCAGGATGAGAAAATAGTTAAATGTCGTAGTTATCAGATGAATGACTATGTCCTTGATCTTCCTTCTCCACAATATAAGAAGGTACTGTATTGCCTTTTGCAATTCTATGCACTAAGGATTCATTTCCCCCCGGAAGTTCATCATCTAGGACCACATGTATAATTTAAGTGTAATAGAAGGAACCTAAGAAAAAAGTAGCTGGTTTCACGTAAAAGATAAAACTAATTTCAATACTATTACAGTTAATTTAATAGTATTTAATAGTATTAAAACTAATTTCAATACTAATACAGTTACAAATATGTGAGTATATTTGATTTATGAGATAATTATCAAGGGTATATTAATAATTATATGTACATAACTGGCCATATTGATCAATAATAAATTTTACTGCAAGCAATAAAGCTTTGCAATACAGTTTACTTTGGTATCATAGCTGAGTTTTCTGCTGTGTAGGACTTTAACTCAGAATAAATTATAAAAGACTACTCCATGTTTACTATAGATTCTCTTAAGCCCCTATCCTTCTCTCTCTTTCTCTCATTGGCATATATCTATGAAACATTTGTTGCATTGAAATAAAGTGTTTCTGTTTGCATGTTATATTGGGGTTTACTGCTTGGTACAGTGATCTAGCCAAACATCTTACTTTTCATCTCTGAAAACTGGCAGTATTGATCAGACATATGGAGTCTTGCATCATGTTGGGCTAATGGCTTTTCAAAAACTGCTTCCCTTTATTGTAGCCATGACTGTAAAGGAGGGGTTTTCTGAAGCTTTGTATTTTTTATTGATCCTCCAGAAAAATATTTTAATAATCCTGTTGACTTGAATCCATTGCAGAGCCATCTTAGATTGCAATCACCATCTTATATTCACATTTTTTTCCAGCACATAACTGATGCTTGGACTGTAAATGGATTTGATGTAGAATTGGTTGCAAGTCTGAATACAGGTTGACTTACAACAGTTCATTTAGTGAATATTCAAAGTTACAACAGCACTGAAAAAAGTGACATGACCATTTTTCACACAACCATTGCACCAAGGCAGGGGCCTGCAACCTTAAATTCTCAAAGAGCCATTTGGGCCCGTTTCCCACAGAAAAGAAAACACCGGGAACCACAAAACCTGGGTTGCCAACTCAACGTCACTCCCATCTATTCACATTATCCCCCAGCCATGCCTACCCAGGTTTTGTGGTTTCCAGTGTTTTCTGTGGGAAATAGGTCTCTCTCTCTCTCTCCCTCCCTTCCTCCCTCTCATTTCTGTTTTTCTCTCTTTTCCCCCCCTCTCTCTCTTTCTTTTTCTTTTTCTTCCCTTTTTTCTCTCATTTGTTTCCCTCTCTTTTTCTTCTCTCTTATTCTCTCCCTCCAGCTCTCTCTCATTTCTCTCTCCCTCTTCTCTGTGTCTCTCATTTGTTTCTCTCTTTCTTCTCTCTCCTTCCATCATTTTCTCATTTCTCTCTCTCTTTCCTCCCCTTTTCTCTCATCTCTCTCTCTCTCTCTCTCGTGCACATGCATGTGCACAAGCGGGATAACCTCCTGGGCTGGGATCATGGCAGTGGTGACAGCAACTCCTCCTCCTGCTGCCACCACTGCACAGTCAAGTGAGTAGCCGGCTGCATTGTGCAAGAGAGAGCTCTTCCCTCTCTGCATCTGATGGCGGCGGCTGCTCCTCCCCATTCCCCTCCTTCCTGAGCCGACATGAAGGAGACCGTGGCTGGCGCTGAGCTGCCCGCAAAGGACGTGGAATCACAAAAAGCTGGTCATGGGCAATGTGGAGAAAACACTAGGGGCGCTTCAGCCGCACGGAGAGAGGCTCGCACCTTTTCGGGGTGGAGAGCAGGTTGCATGACCGGGTCAGGCCAGTGTCTTGGGGTGGAGAGCAGGTTGTGCAACTGGGTCGGCACGGAATCACAGGAGAGGAATCTAAGAGCCACATGCGGCTCTGGAGCCACGGGTTGCCGACACCCGCACTAAGGTCATGTGATCAAAATTCAGACACTTGGCAACTGTTTGAGATATTTATGACAGTTGCAGTGTCCTGGAATCATGTGACTACCTTTTGTGACCTTCTGACAAGCAAAATCAATGGGGAAGCCAGATTCACTTAACAACTCTGTTACTAACTTAACAATTGCAGTGATTCACTTAACAACTGTAACAAGAAAAGTTGTAAAATGGGGCAAAATCCACTTAACAAATCTTTTGCTTAGCAGAAAAATTTTGAGTTCAATTGTGGTTGCAAATCAAGGATTACTTGTATATGTGTGGTAGTAAGAAAATGAAAGGGATGATTGACAACTCTTCATTTATATTTTCAAGTAAGTCGGCCCTGAAATTCCTTCCAGCCTTTACCTAACATTCTTGTCCATGGGGAATGAAAAGGTGTTTCTTCCAAGATTCTAATCTGCAAAGCAAAAGATGGGGGGAAAAATCAATCTTTTATCTTTTTTCTCTACTCCTGGTTTCTTTTTACCCAGGGAAATGATGACAAAGACGCCTTGTCCAAATATTTCTGGAAATAATCTGTCAATATTTATATTTGATTTTTTTAAAATCAAGTTTTATTGATTTTTTTCTTTCACACACACATATTTTATGAACAAAGTATTGACCATATCATAACTTATACAACTTATCATATCCAATTTAATTTTACAGAGTTACCATTTTTGCCAAAATATTCTTTTTCCATACTTTTTTTTATCTTAATACTTCTATACTTATTATATAAACAGCATTACCATCCGCCCTCAAATCCTAGTTTCTTAACATTATTTCAATTAGTTATCTTATCCATTGTTAATCATATATATTCCCTTTTAACTTTCATATTAATTCGTTCTTCATCCTAATCAATTTGCACATTCTTGGGGTTGCCTTTCTACCATTTCATCTCTCTTGTTTTACAACAATTCTTCTTCTCCTCTCCTCTCTTTCTCTTCCCTCCCTTCTTCTATCCTTTTCTACTTTACTCTTTCCTCCTCTCCTACTCCTTTTGTACTTCCCCTTCCTTCCCCCACTCCTCTATTCCTTCCTCCCTTTCTAATCTTCTCTCCTACTCTTATTTCCCCTCCCTTTCTTCCTCTCCTTTTCCCTTTCTTCTATTCCTCTCTCTCCTTCCTCTCTTCTCCTTCTTCCCTCTACTCCTCTTTCCCTTCTCTTTCCATTGTTGTATTCATTTTCGATTCAATATTTTCCACAATGGTATCCAGGCAACCCCGATTTCCCCCCTCTCCCACTTATTAACTATATTTTTCAAAGTCCCCATCACATTTTTAAATTATTAACTATGTATTTCAACTCAATTCTATTTTTACATTGAAATCTTTTAACTTAATAAACCTTCCACCTCTTATTTTCCTTAGTTCCTAATTTCTTATTCCAACATTAATTAGTTATTTTCCTCATTTACTAGCCTTTCAATTTTATATCTTAATTTCAGTTATTTTCACATTTAAACCAATCTTCATTTTATGTTGCATCTGCTAATCCATTTTACAATAAACAATATACAGTATTTCTTCTTTTTTACTTCTTACTTACATCATTTACTAGCATTTCAATTTTGTATCTTAATTTTCATTATTTTCATATTTAAACCAATCTATATTTCATATTACATCTGCTGATCCATTTTACAATAAACAATATACTTCTTGTTTATGTCTTACAATTTCTATTATTAATACACTTCCCTTAAATCAACTATTTGCTTTATTTCCCTTCCTTCTCTCCATTATTCTTCCCCTTTTACCCATTTTCTTTTGGTCTCTCCAAAATTCTACTTCTTAATATTTTTCTCCCTTTCTGCCATTCTCTTATTTTCTTCTTTTTCTTTTTCTTTTTATATTTATTGTATCTTTTCCCCTGAATCCTTTCTCTCACTTTAAAAATTGTTACCCTTTTAATTCTCCCCCTCAGTCTTTTCCCATTTCTTTCTCTTCCTTTCTGTTTTGGGTGATATTCCCCCCATCCACATTTTGTTTTTCACTTTCAATCCCAGTATAATCTTCAATTATCTTCCTTTCAACATTATGTTCTTGCTTCACATTTATATTCTCTTTTTCCTTTTTTTGTATTCTAACCAGATTTCCACTTCTTTATCACCCTTAAATGCTTCACGCACCTTCTTAAACATTTCCATTAATTCCTCATATTCCCAATGTTCCATATTATCAATTCAATTTTTTTAATTTTAATTTATATGTAGTTAAAATTCAAGTCCATATAGTGTTCTCTTTTTTTAAAATTTCCTAATAGTAATCAATTCAAATATTTATCTAAACCCATTTTAAGGCTTTGTTCTTCTTTTCAAGGTTGGGATCCAGCTGAAGGAGTACTTAAATAAGTACTCCTTCAATGTTTAAGGCATTTGTTGTAGTGCTTTCTTCTCTTTCCAGTTCACAAATCCCCAGGCAACAAAATATCACTTTTAAATCCACATCGAAAATACTTTCTCTTCAATTTGTTTTCCTTTTATTGTTAAAAAATGCTCTCACTTTTCTTTTTCTTGTATTATTTCTAATTTCTCCAAATTCAATTTTAAGTCAGGTAGAAAGTTTTTTTTTTTTTTTAATTTGATTTATATGCCGCCCTTCTCCGAAGACTCAGGGCGGCTTACAATGTGCTCAGCAATAGCCTTCATCCTTTTGTATATTTATACAAAGTCAACTTATTGACCCCACAACTGGGTCCTCAATTTACCTACCTTAGAAAGGATGGAAGGCTGAGTCAACCTTGAGCCTTGGCGAGATTCGAACCCTGCAGTAATTGCAGGCAGCTGGTCTTAATAACCAGCTTAATAACAGGGTGCCTTAAACCCCTGTACTATCAAGGCTCTTTTTGGGGGGGGCTTTAGTCTTTTAACTTCCTCTTTGTTCTTCTCCCTCCAATTAACATTCCAAAGTGCCAATTAGCTGCTCATTTCATGCTAGGACCTCTTTCAAGCTTTTTCCAAAGAATTTCTTTTTACCTTTAAATTGGCCAAATCGCTCCTATGGTAACAATACTCCATTCACTCCTGCACAAGTCTTAGTCCAGTTGCCCCAATTTAGAGCAGTCGTTTTAATGGCCGACACCCCCGCCGCCGGATCAAAGAGCTGCCTCCGACCTTTCGAGGAACTTGCTTGTTCCTCTTGGTCTTCTAAGGCACCTGTCTTTCTTCACCTCCTAGACAGTTCCGGTCCAAAGACCCCCAGGCAGAGGTTTGTCTGGCTGGATTTTCGCGAACCTCATCAGAGCTTCACTATTTTCCACCCAGTCTTGCTGCAATGCTTCAGGTTCTCTCCAGCATTTATATTTGTGTATTGTAGTGTAAACAGTTCAGGTTGTATAACCTGCTATGAAATTTAATGTTACTGCATGTCTGGAATAGTTTTGCTGGCAATTAATTGCAAGCCCCAATGTGGTAATTACAGATTAGCTTCATGCCAAGACATTTATGTCCTGATCTTTGCATTTTGACTCTTTGCACATTACACTAACAGAGGCTGTTCTCTTATCCTGAAACATGCACGAGTCTATTCCTCTTCATTATATGTGCTTCCCATAGTATTGGACCAACATAAACATTCTTTTACATTCTAATATTTAACCACAATTTTATCCCTGTGAGAATTTCTATTTTTTTTCTTATCATTCAGCTACTGAACTGTAAAATATATAAAATAGAAATCATTTATGTTATTCAATGTCACCAAGCATTTCCTTGCCAAGCTGATGTCTGGATTCCCCCCCCCCAGTATACATCTAAATTTTAAGTTACCTGAGTCCCTTCCCACCTACTATCCTCCTTTAAGATCAGACAAAGCTTTTTAAAAAAGGCTTAAGATATATTACAGAACTGTTGCCAAATATGTACGTGAAGGCAGCTAATGAATGCCACACTCAAGGCTTGCTTAGGAGTCCCCTGGCATGGTCCTTGTGGAATTCATAATTAAACTCTGACTTGTACATGGGTCACTCATTTTTTGATGAAAGTGCTGGCCTCATCAGATTTTTGTTAATGTGGAGAAGTGATCCTCATTTACAGTATCATGACCTTTTAGAGTGTCAAACTCAAAGCCTGGGGGCCAGATTCGGCCCACGGGGTGCTTCTGGCCCATGGGTGCTGGCCTGGAAACAGCAAAGGACTGGTCTGCGGTGCCTCTGCCAGCCGAAATGGAGCTCCCCTTTTGCATTTGAGCATGCAAGAAAGGACAGGAAAGGAGAAAGGGAAAGAGGAAAGACAAAGAAAAAGAAGGGACAATGGGAAGAGAGCAAGGAAGGAAAAATAAAGAAAGAGGGGAAGGAAGAAAAAGAATGAAGAGGGAAGTTTGCACAAAATTGGAAGAGTAATGACACACCAAGCGAAGAGAAAGTAATTAGTAAAATCATGGAATGTGCAGAAATGGACAGACTCACAAAGGAACTTCAAGATAAAGAGGAACATGATTACTATTTAGTATGGGATAAGTGGTACAATTGGTTGAAAGATAGGAAAAGGAAAAAACAGGATTAGGAGGCAGCCAGTGGAACCCAAGACAGCTATAGAAATACACATTATTCAATATAGGCCAATAGGGACTTAAAAAATTTAGACACAATGTAAAAGACCCAATTAGGGAAGAGTCAAATATACAAATGAGAATTATATAACAGATCACAGTTGTGATAACTTCGACCTCTTTTTTTGTTTACATGTTTTGTATGTTTTGTTATTACTTGTCTTGTTTTGTTTGTATTTTTAAATAAATAAAAATTAATTAAAAAAAGAATGAAGAGGGAAGGAAGGAAGGAGGGAGGGAGGGAGGGAGGGAGGGAGGGATGAGATTATAATGAGAGTGAGGGAGGGTCTCAGGGAAGTGCTGCCTTAGCACTTGGCCACCACAGGTGCTCCCGACATGACCACCACAACCATGTCAACCGAAGTCAGACAAACTGTGATGCGGCCCTCAATGAAATTGAGTTTGACACCCCCGTTTTAGAGAATAGGTAATAGGTGGCTGTAATGACAATAAATACGTGACTATCTCATGAAATTGGATTCATTTTTATTATTTTTAAAATACTTCCTTAACTTGAAATTCAGTGGATTCTATGCAATGAACTGTAAGTGCTTTTGTATCTCTGTTGCTCAAATTATACCAATACCAAGAATGATTTATATTGACTTCTTAATGGAGCTAATGAATGCAACCAGCTGGCTCTTTCCCACTATTTAATCTTCAGGTTTGAAGCAGCTATATTTCTTCATCCTTATTCCATTTATTTGTGTAAGTAACAGAAATCTAATGATGGAACCTTTCTATTTTTGTTCTTATAGGTCATCTGTTTGGGTGCAAAACAGAATGAATTGCCAGTGGATTATCAAAAGAAATTAAATTCTATAGAGACTAACAACTCTGCAGGACCTGTACCAATGTTTGAGGAAATTGAAGCTGCTCTCAATTCATCAGGGAAACAAAATAATGAAGATCAATTTTAGTATAATTTGCTTTTACTGTCTTGGCATCTTGTGTGTCTATTTCTCTTATATTACAATAGCTTAGATATAATTCAGGGGTGTCAAACTCACGACCTACAGGCCACATGCGTCACACGCTAGCCATGCCCATGCCCGGTTTAGTGAAGGGAAAGAGTCATGATACGTCACGTGACAACTCTGTGGCGATGCAAGTTTGACACCCCTGATATAATTAATATCAAAATAACGGGAGGATACTATATACATATACACCATAAGGTATAAGATGATATTTGATTATTGCTTTCCTTTATCTTTTTCTGTTTCTGTTTTTCTGCAATAAATTGAGACTAGGAATGATTTCCAAATTGTGCTTCAATCTGAAAGTTTCTGCACCATTTCAATCCAGTTTACAGGTGGATTGGGTATTATAGGTAGCCCTTGTTTAACAACTTTTAGTTCAGCAACCAAAATTACAATAGCACTGAACAAATGCTAGTTATGACCATCCTCCTTATGGTCATTGTAGCACTCCTATCATCATGTAATCAAAATTTGGGCATTTGGCAGCCCACCCACATTTATGATTACAACATGTGCTTCAACTCACCCCATTTTCCTATCTCCCATTGCAAAGGTCAGCTGTCAAATGTTTCATTTAATTACCACTTAGCAATGGAAATGCCATCCCAATCTTAACAATTAGGGTTGTTAAGCAAGGACCAAATGTAAGGTATGTTAACTTTGCTGTGATAGTTATTATACCAGCCTCCAGTCATCAAGCTTTTTAAAAAGCTGATTTAATCACTACTCATTTTTCTGCATTAAAATTTATATTACTGAACTGGGAATTGTTTCTTGTCTTGTAAAAATATATATGCTATTTATAAATCCAAGAAATTCCCTTTTCATATTAAGAGATGTCCCTATGTTGGACAATTTTGGGGTTTAGAATAGAGAAGGAACTTGTAAGAAAAAAGATATTTAATACAGCTGCAGTACCTAATAAAATGGATCAAAAATATGTTTTTTATAGATTAACAGTTGCAGGACATTTTGTGCAGTGTTATGAGTGTCCAACAACATGGATCTTTGTAAACAAATGCCCTCACCTTGACCAGCAAGCCTTTCAAAACTTAGTGGAGGTGTTCAAAGAACAGCCTATAAAGATATTCTGACTTGACTTTGGGAGACAAGAGGGAGAGCCACAGACTGGACAATGGCTTGCAAAAGATGCCTCAGCCCACAGGAGGGAGGACATGGCTTTTGTCTCAGAAGGGACCCATCCTAGTTTTGCAAAGAGCAAAAGGAAAGATGGGAAAATATGGTCTTGTAAACTTATTAATCTAAGCTTCCTTTAAACCTTAGTTGTGCTAAGAAGTCTTGAAAGCTACATATTGTGATTCTATGACATACATGGGTAAGGTTTAAATTTTATAGAGACGCATAGACTTCTTGTTTTTAGGCAGCACTGCTGGTTTTAACAAGAACTATACTATGAAGTGAAATTCATAAAATTTCAGGCGCGAGGACCTCTGCCGGCTTCCTTCCAGTCCTGCAGAGGGCACGGCGAGGCTGACCCACGTCAATTGGGAGGACTCGAAGGGCTGTCCTGGCAAGGATCTCGGGGGCGGGGGTTTCGAGTGAGGAAAGGCAGGGCGTGGAGTTTCCCCTCCTTTGACGCTCAAGTTTTCGCCGCGCCCGCAGAAAGTCCGATTAATGGGCCCCGACCCTCGCACTGCCTCTGGTATTCTTTCTTTCGCCAGCCCTGTCTATCCGCATGCAGGTATGCTTGAAGTGCGCCCCGAGGTTGGTGGAAGTGTATAGAACGTATGAAAACAGACGGGGAACAGGAATAAAAGGCCCCTGGGGTTGCGGAGACAGGAATTTGGACCTGAGGCCTGGCAAAGAAGCGTGAGTAGGGCTCAAGTGACTTTCGCTTCATTGTAGTTGCGCTGCTCGTTGGGCGAGGCGAGGCGAGGCGAGGCAACGAGGGCTGCATTAAGCATCTTGCAAACAGCCCAAATGCAACTCGGAAAAGGAGAGATCAGTGCTCTTTTCTGCAGATCCTTGAATAGTTCTAAGCGTCTTGGGAAGCAGATTGCCGTTCGAATTGCTAACTGGCACTGGAGAAGCGCGCGAGTAAATGTATGTGCCTTAAAAGTTCAAACCGATGAAATTGTTGACGGTCTCAGAGTCTGACAGTGAGGGCATCTGTTCTGTCTCTTGGGTAGTTGTAAAAGGGAAGATAGGCTGTTAAAACCGAAAGTGCAATTCCTGCTTTGGAACGCCTGGCAGAAAAAAAATGTGAACCCTTCATGAAAAGGGGAATAGACTATATTAGTGGAGAAAAATGTCAATTTACAAGCTTGGGAGAAAACAGTCTCCCAAAACCTGTGGTACTCTATTTCCTTTTCTCAGAAAGCCAGAGTTTATTTAAATCAGGTTAGAACATTGGCTAAGATTCACCTGGCATCAGATGCTAACAAACTGCAGTGCTTTAAACTCTTGTGAGTTTTGATCAAAGGGTATGGTGTAGATAAGACTGATGCTTAAAAGTATGTGCCAGCCTTCTCTAAATGAGACCTCGGAAAATGTATTGGGCTGAAACTACTGTCAGATGCAGGCAGTAGCAAGATCAGGAGCCAGCATTGTGAGGCAGACTTATTGCTGATAATAAGATAGGAAGTCAAATTCTATAACACGTCAAGGAGATAGAAGGGAACTCCCTAGCAGTATCAATTCCAGTAGCAGAACCAGTTTTTAACTTTAATTCCTAGCATGGGATCATAGCCGCACAACCATGGAAAGTAGCTTGAATTTGGTAGGTGACTTCCTACTCACCACACAAGTGGTGGTGGATTATCTACTAAGTGACTCAAAATTACAAGCTGTTGTTGCTGCAAGGTATGACACAATTGTGCTGAAGGAGCTGTGAATGCAAGCTGAGGACTTAAGAAGAGAAGAAGGCAGGTTAGAGACACTAACCTAATGTACTTCAGGGATCAGCAGTATAGTACTTAAGCAGATATTTGAGGCTACAATATTAACAATCCCCTGGCATTGTGTTAACTGATTGGAGAGGAAATTCAAGACACCAGAAGGGGTCAGTTGCATGCCATAAGCCTAGTATACTAGTTAGACAATTGGACAAGACAGGCCCAGAATGAAACCCTATTTAGTCATGAAGTTGTCAGACTGAGTTTGGACTAATAACTGTGTCTCTCAGATTAACAGTTATTTCACCATCGCAACAACTAGCACAGATGTTAGCTTTTGCATTTCTGTCAGCTGCCTGTTTTCTAGAAGAAACATCTTAAATCTAAGCTATAATTTGTGGTTAAGCAGTTCAGCAAGACTATAAACTGACCAAAGGTGAGTAGAGTAAGTAGAGTTTCTTATTGGCTAGGGCCGTGATAAGGAACCTATGAAACGCGTGCCAGAGGTGGCACGCAGAGCCCTCTCTGTGGGCACACGTGCTGTCGCCAGCTGCTGTTCTGGTTTCCGGCGTGTGCATGTGCGCTGCCCGCTGGTCTTCACGTGCACTGGAGCTCTGGAAACTCAAAGACCAGCACTCCGGCACTTGTGAAGACCAGCTGGCCAGTGTGCATGTGTGCACTGGAAATCCAAAGACCAGGTGGCTGGCATGCACATGCGCACTAGCCAGTTCAGTGGTGAAATCCACTTACTTTTGCTACTGGTTCGGGAACAGGAGCGCGTGCACACTATGTGACATGCTATGCATGTGCACGCTAGAGTCTTCTGTACATGCACAGAGGGTAAAAAATGGGATGTAATGACATCCTGGTGGGTGGGCGGAGCCTCCCGCCGCTGGCGCTACCGGTTCGCACGAGCCGGATAAATCTGGCCGGATTTCACCACTGGGCTACCTGGGTTTCCGGCGTTCCGCACACGCTCTGGTTTGAGCACTCGGTGCTGAAAAGGTTCACCATCACTGGGCTAGGGTGTACATGGAATGGATTTTAAGCTCTGAGTTAAGAGGAAACCCAAATTAGTCTTAACTAGTTTAATTTTCTTTCTTTTTTTTTATTGAAAAGTTTTACAAAAAAGAAATACAAAATTCCCCCCCATGTTCCCCCCACCCTTTCCCCCCCTTCATCCCACCCTCCCCCCACTTCCCAGAGCAAAATACAAGGTATTTCATTTAATCAAACATAAACTAGATTAATCTACTTATCCTCAAAGTACTGCCTTCCCCACTGAAACCTTAACTCCACTACAGATAACCAAATACTTCTAATACTAACATTCATCCATAAGCTATTTGATATTTTCTTGTCTGATACTTATTTTGAATATAATCAATCCATCTTCTCCATTCCGATACATATCTTTCTTGCGTGTGGTCCTTCAAATACGCCGAGATTTTCGCCATTTCTGCTAGGTTTGTTACTTTCAATATCCACTCTTCAATAGTAGGCAAAGAGTCCTTCTTCCAATATTGAGCTACCAGCAGCCTAGCTGCTGATATTAAGTTCAAAATCAATTTAGTCTCTGAAACTGTATAGTCCGTAATTATACCCAATAGAAACAATTGAGGAGTAAATTTCAACCTTCTTTTCAAAATGTTCTGCATCACCCACCAAATTTTTATCCAAAATGCCTTGATTTTCTTACAGGTCCACCATATATGATAATAGGTTGCATCACTACATTCATATCTCCAACATTTAGCTTGCAAATTCGAGTACATACATGATAATTTTTTAGGATCTCAGTGCCATCTATAAAACATTTTATAAAAATTCTCTCTCATATTTTGTGCTGGCGTAAATTTAACATTTCTGACCCAAATCTTTTCCCACTAGTTTAATTTTCTTGAGGTGCAACTGTGGGAAGCAGTGTGTCTGTATTGAAAGAATTCAGTTCATCACAAAGACACAGTTCACACAACTGATTCTCACTGCTAAATAATTTTATTTGAGAGCTTTCAGCGTAAAAAAGTTTTCCAAGAGAACTGGCTCCTTGTAATAAAAAATATATTTTATTTTCTTCTTATCCATCTCTGTGTGTAAAATATCAGCAATGAAAAACTAACATTAAATGAGAATTGGAAACAACCTTCCCTCTGCTATTGCTGTGTAGATGTAAGAATGACAACTCTCAGGATTTCCAGCTGGTATGGGTTGGTACATGATGGATGCTAGGCCAAAGATGATGAACATCTTGTTTTAAGAAAGCTTCCATTTGAGTTGCCAAAAGTATGGAAGGATTTAGCCCCCACTTTAATAATGGAATGGAAATACTGAATTTCTAAAAGTTAGGAGCCTATGATTTGTTTAGCAGTCTGAATTTGTCAACTTTTTCTTAATGTTATATTTAAGATCCAGGAGTTGGTCTATTAGAGTTTTCTAACTAAAGCCCCTACCCCTACCCCACAATTAAGTGGAAGAATGAGTCTAGGAGAGCCAGTAGACTGTAGTAACCAGATTGTTAACTAGATGTGATAATATATTCAGTGATGCAGATACTATAAAGCTCTACTAGGAGCAGGCACTGTCTTTTCAACTCTAGCTATGTCACATATTTGCTATAAAAATAAAATGGGGAAGAGATTGGAAATTCAGTAACTATATAATGAATGACCATGGGCAGCCAAACGAGCAGTGAGAGCACAAGCAACTTTTTACTGGATTCCTCAGAAACTTTGCTTATGGGAAGCTGGCAGGGAGCATTGAAAATCATGATTATGTGGTGGTAGTTGACTGTGTGACTGCAGGGCATTGCAATCATCCATAAGTGTGATCATATGATCATATCATATGACTGAGGAAGGGCAACCATTGGAATTTTGAATCCAGGTTGTAAGTAATCCCAGGGAAGACCATCATAATGTCAAGTGCTAAGTGACTGGTTGGAAGCCAAGAACTACCTGTGATTAAATAATTAAATATTCTGAATGTGCCCACTGTATTATAACCCAAGATCTCTATTCTTGAGATGTTTTTCCCTTTAGATTTCTTACTCATTTACTAATAAGTATATAGTGAGGAATGTTGCTTGAATGAACTCCTCCCTAAATAAGTGCAACATGGCTATTGCCACAACAATTTTTTTGTTCCCCTTTTTTTCTTCCTCCTCTGTTCTGAAAAAAAGTTAGCTAAGTAGAAGCAGGGTGTGAGTAAAATGACCAGAATCTTTTTCTGACAAGAAGAAGTGAAAGTTGTTATAAAATAAAAGTAGTTTACTTGTCCTATGCTCATAAAAACTAAAATGTGAGTGTTTTAAATTTATTGACTGGTCTCTTACAATGTAAACCAATATAAAACAACTGGAACATTTTTTGGTTTTGGCTTTCCATGTTGCAGCAGTTCAACCACTGTGGCTTAAGAAAATGTGGTTTATTTCTCACTGAAACATTAAGCTCTACATGTGTGAAGCCAACTATTATGACTTATTTTGTAAATTCTAGTTTAAATTAGCTATTGTACAATGTTAGTTCCCTTACTTCCAGATAAGTATGAATAGTTTGCTTCCAGTTGACCAATCTAGATTTAATCATAATTAGGGTAGTGGTACCACTGAAAACAGTGGGACAAATCAGAATTGATTTAAGTAAAACTGTTTTAGAGATGGACATACCTCTAGCAAGATGACCATTGATTGTCCAACCTTAATCTATAATACCAGACATTGAAATTTTATTTACAACCAGGGATCTGCAACGTAGTACAACAACTGAAATAAAAGCAATAAAGCCCTAAGAATGTACCAGTTAAAATTTATACAGACGGAAAGTAAGCAAAATAAAACAGGAAGACAAAGTAAAATACGTGCACTAATGTCTCAGGTTCATTCATGTTTTTTCTTATGAAATTGGATTTTGTGGAACCTTCTGTCTAATACTCAAGTATAGAATGTTAAAGTGGGCCAGAAAGAAGGCTCTAAGGTTTTAAAAAACTGAATATTATAATACACTGTTTTCTTTGCAGATTCACCAAAGTGAGGCATTGATTGTCGTGTTGAAATCAGCCCTTAACGTATGCAGCTGTCCAAGTATGAGTTTGGAAAGCACAGTCTCTTATTATAATGGCAGAGCAGCTAGCTGGTAAAACAAAAATTACACACATAGCTACAGCAGGAGGAGATTCACTGTCCTTCGTAAGCTCACTGAAAGTCCACAGAGAATTGCTAGTCAATCGAATCCACAACACCCAGTGTTTGATTGACAACTTGATTAAGAATGACTATTTCTCCATAGAAGATGCAGAGATTGCTGCACAGTATTCTACACAAGCAGATAAGGTACAGTATATATTTTATTTCAGTTTTTGGCTTAAGTGTAGTTTAATAATAAATCATGGCTTAGTGCACTCAATAAATCATGTCTTTACTCAAAATGTCGACTGGCGGCCCCCAGGGGGAGAGCCTTCTCTGTGGGGGCACCTACCATCTGGAACGAGCTCCCCCCAGAGATACGGAAGATCCCGGACCTGCGCACGTTTCACCGTGCTCTCAAAACTTTTCTATTTCAGCAAGCTGGCCTGGCCTAACTCCCATCTTTTAAATTTTTTAATTCGTGATTTTACAAATTGGGTGTTTTAATCTGTGTTTCGGCTGAAATATTTAATAATTTTAAGGGATTTTTTAATATTTGTATTATCTGTATTTTATCTTGGCTGTTCACCGCCCTGAGTCCTTCGGGAGTAGGGCGGTATAGAAATTTGATTAAAAAAAAAAAAAATCTTTCATATAGGCAAGTGAGCAAGGCTGGCTAGAGGAACTGGAACTGATCTTTTCATTTGTCTTCCACCATATTATCTGGGAGTAGTGCTGTCTACAGATAAAAGGAATTCTACCAAAACTTTAATTTTTTTCTCTTCCCTCAGCATTTATTTATTTATTTATTTATTTATTTATTTATTTATTTATTTATTTATTTATTTATTTAATATTTTATACCGCCCTTCTCCCGAAGGACTCAGGGCGGTGCACAGCCAAAAATAAAAACAAACACATATAAAATTTAAAACAGTTTAAAAGGAATTAAATAATTTGGCCCATTTCAGTTAAGACAAAGACAACCCATATAATTTAAAATTGATCTTGGTATTCAGGCCAGCCCAGCTTGTTGAAACAACAGAGTCTTGAAGGCACGACAAAAGGTGGGTAGGTCAGGGATCATCCGTAAATCCCGGGGCAATTCGTTCCAGAGAGCAGGTGCCCCCACAGAGAAGGATCTCCTCCTGGGAGTCGCCAGTCGGCATGTTTGATAGAAGGCATTTACTTAATTTAATGGACTAACAGTATATATATTTTATATGCTACTGGTTAGGATTATTTAAGAGATAAATTTAACATAAATTGCTGTTCATATAGAGAAGATCCAAAGCTGAAATTCCTTATCGTAATTGTGACTTGTTTTGGAACAATTGTATAGGCAAAGAGACAGTGTAGGTGTTTGTTGCATCATAATCACGCAGATGAATAATTTTTTCCTTCACTCAACATTCCAACAATAATCTGAATGGAAAGACAATATCTATAGATATTCAAACAATGAGAGAGAAAATTTGAACTTCTGGATAAAAGTGTCCTTTTAAATGCTTTCCCCTCATCTTTAGAAATTAATTCCTTCAGAGTCTGATGATCTTTGAGCTGTTTTTGTAGTTAATAATTATTAGTTTCCAGAAGGTTCTGGCTGATCTGCTTGATGAACTAGTTAAGCAGCATTTGAAGCTGCAAAACTTTTGCTGTTATCTGTCAAGAAATTGATACACAGGAATCTTTTGTTATGGATTCTTCTGGCTTCAGATTACTTTTCTTTTGTGAAAATGCATTTATATTGTCAACGTTAGCATGATAGTGGTATTTTTCTTCCTTGATAGTAGATCAAGGAAGTTGGGCTGGTTGCCAACTTCTCCCTTTCCTGAATTCTGCTCTTGAAATGGAGAATTCTTAAAATGAAATATGGAAGCTTCCTTTGATTCTAAATTTTTTTCCAATCATATTCCGGATCCCATGGAAGCTTCTATAGATAATAGTGAACACATAAAGACTTTTATGACCCATTATAAATATGTGTCTGGGTAATGAAATAGTATTCCTCCAGACATTGGATTAGGTGTCTCCCTTGTCTTCTGGAATTCTCCAAACTTATCACCAGATTGTATTGGATATTAGGAGATTATTAAATACACAGGGATCAATCACATTAATTGTAATTTAATTAATTGTAATTATATTAATATTTATGTAGAATGAATTTAAATTTGTTCTGTGTTATAGCCGTTTGTAGTACCAAGCAATTGTACCATGTATGATGGTGGTTCAGTGAATATAGCCTAAATGTGCTTGAGACTTTATCTGATCTTTCCTTAAGGTCCGTAAAATTCTGGATCTAGCCCAGAGTAAAGGTGAGGAAGTTGCAGAGTATTGCCTGTATGTCCTGCAACAAGCTGGTGATGCTTACTATGACTTACATCCTTGGTTGGAGGAGATTGGCTTCCACCCATCAGAAGTCATTTGTAGCAAACCTGTGGAAAATACTGACCCAGGTAAGACATCCAGTTAGGAAAGTCTGCTCTTTTTCTTTTAATTTTTAAAATTAGCTTTTTCAATATAGAAACCAAAGCATAATGATGCTGATGGTGGTGGTGATGGTGATAATATAACATAGAAAACTAACAGGATAAAACCAAGACTAGTTAAAAAAGGAGGGTGTACAGGGAGGTCTCAATTTGCAACCATTTGTTTAGTGACCGTTTAAAGTTGCAACAGTGCTGACAAAAATGACTTACGACTGGTTTTCACATTTACCACTGTTGTAGCATCCCCATGATCACATTATCTAAATTCTGGCACTTGGCAACTGGCAGGTATTTAGGACAGTTGTACTTTCTTGAGATCATGTGACCACTGCATGTAACCTTCACAGCTGGCTTTGGACAAGCAAAGTCAATAGAGGAAGCAAGATTGACTTAGCAACTTCATGATTCCCTTAACAGCTGCTCTGGTTCACTCTGCCAGTTGCAGGACTGCTTTTTAGACTACCGAGTGGAGTATATTTGAACATTTGGAGCTGTAAGAATTCATTGACCCTGTACTCTCATACATTAAAACATGGACAGACAATGTAACAGTGAATAAGAGTTTACAGCATTAGAGTTTACAGTAATCATAAACCCTGGTTGTCAGCAGAGGTACAATCACTTCTGAAAGCCCGAAACTCCACCTTCAAGGTAGGAAATAAAGACGAATACAACAAGGCCAGGGCAAACTTGAGAAGAAGCACTAAGGCGGCTAAACAGAAATACAAACTAAAAGTAGAGAAGCATCTGGCAGATAATAAAATAGGTGTGGTAGGGGCTACAACATCTAACCAATTATAAAGGAAATACGATGAAAATAGCCAACGCTGATACCCTGCTGGCGGAAGAGCGGAAGAGCTTCTTTGCCCGCGTTGAGGTTAAAAGACTTGTCTCTGTGGTTCTAGCTCAAAGGCCCTCTAATCTCCAGCCACTCACCCTGCATGAACATCAAGTGAGAATGTGCTGAAGGCCGTAAATCCCAACAAAGCTGCAGGTCCAGATGGGGTGCTGGGGAAAGTGGTAAAAACCTGCGCTGACCAATTAACAGGAGTCCTGATAAGGATTTTTAACATCTCCCTGCAATTGGCTAGAGTTCCATCATGCCTGAAAGCAGCCACAATCATCCCAGTTCTGAAGAAAGCAGCCATAAACAGCCTGAATGACTATAGACGCATTGCACTGACATCTATAGTAATGAAGTGCTTTGAGAGACTGGTCCTACAACACCTCAGGTCCTGTCTTCCACCAAATTTTGATCAACACCAGTTTGCTTATAGAAGCAACAGGTCGACAGAAGACGCCATTGCCACTACTATATATACTGCACTGAGACACCTTGAGAAATCTGGGAATTATGTCAGAATGCTTTTTATAGATTATAGCTCAGCCTTTAATATCATCTTACCAGGCATTCTCATTGAAAAGCTGACTGACCCGAATTTCCCTCTCCTCACGTATGACTGGGTCAGAGACTTCCTGACGTACCGTACACAAACAGTAAGAGTTGGATTCTTGAAATCTTCCATCCTGAAGCTCAGCACAGGCTCTCCTCAGGGCTGCGTGCTCAGCCCCTACCTGTACTCGCTGTATACACATGATTGTATATCCTCGAATCCATCCAACAGCATAATAAAGTTTGCAGACAACACAACAGTGCTGGGGCTTATAACTGAAGGAGATGAATCCGCATACAGGGAAGAAGTCCAGAAGGTATCCACATGGTGTTCAAAAAACAACCTACATCTAAATACTAGCAAGACGAAGGAGATGGTGCTGGATTTTCAGAAGCACAGAGAGGAACCTGCCCCACTGTATATCAAGTGGGGCTGTGTGGAGAGGGTTTCCTCTTTTAAATTCTTGGGAGTGCTCAGTAGTCAAGATCTCACCTGGAAAAGCAACACATCCCTGATGGTTAGTAAGGCTCAACAGAGACTTCATTTCCTTAGAGTCCTGTGGAAAAATCAGGTGGAACAACAGCTAATGACTTCTTTCTATCGGTCCACAACAGAAAGTGTCCTTACATACTGGATAATGGTATGGTATGCTGGTTTAACATCTGTGGACAGGAAGGCACTACAGAGTGATCAATTCAGCACAAGAAACTGTTGGTTGCCCTCTAACACCACTGGATGACATCGCCAGCTCTCACTGTCTCAGCAGAGTAAGGAAGATACTTAGGGATGATTCACATCCTGGCCAGTGTCTCTTTTCACTTTCATCGGGCAGAAGACATCGAAGTATAGCCAGCTGGACAAACAGGTTTAAAAACAGCTTCTACCATGTCAGACTCCTAAGCACAATCACAATTACTCCACATACACATGGAAACTTATGACTAGAGTTTTTCCCGATTACTAGTACAAGGATTATTTTCTATACTATTCATGTTGTCTTGTATTTTTTGTTATGGATTGCACCAGTAGAGACTAAACCAATTTCGTGGTATACATGATATACAATGACAATAAAGGCTATTATTACTGTGTTTCCCGGGCTTGGCCTTATTATTTGGGGGGGAGGTGTCTTATTATTTTGGGAGTGCAGGAGGCGGCAAGCATGGCTCTGGATGTCCCGTCACTGCCGTCGCCTCCCCTCTCTGTTCTGCGCGCTAGCCGAGCGGCTGGCCACCGCTGCCCTGACGTGTCCTGCCGCTGCTGCTGCCTCCAGGAGCAGGACTCTGCAAGGCTTGTGGCATTGCATGCACAAACTGCAGCACCGCTGCAAGCTTCATCATACAGGAACAGCTGGCATCCTGCTGCTCACAACTGCGCCGGTATGTCGAACCTCGTGGCAGTGCTGCCATTCCTACGTGCAACAGCACAAGCCTTGCAGAATCCTGTTGTATGCAGCAGCAGCGCGACGAGTCTCACAAAGACTCATTTCTGGCAGGTGAGGCAGGGGAGAAGCGAGACATGTGGAGCAAGATGTGGCTTCCCTTGCTGTCTCTTCTCCCCCCTTGCCAGGCATGACAGGGCTCCTGCCCCTTGCTTAGCCACCCGCCCCCTTTAGCAATGCAATTTGGGGGTGGCAGGTGGGGCGGGTGATAAGGGAGAAGCATGGAGCGAGATGTGGCTCCCCTTGCTATCTCTGTTGTAACCCAGGTCCAAGTAGGTAATAGTCGACACAAACAGTTCCAAAACAAACAGACTTTATTAGAACAGCTGAGAATTAACTCATTCTCAATGTAGTCCAAACTAAATTAAAACAAATTCTTCATAACAGAAATTCTTCAGTTTAATCACCAACCTTGGTATAATTAGGCAAACTGCCAAAGGCTTCTCCTGGCAAAAGTTCCAAAGCAGAAAACTCCGACAAGAGGAGTGCAGCAAGACAAGAACAAGTCTATCAACATTGTTTTCTGACAAAGAACCCAAGACCCGTTGCTGGTCTTTTAAGCCTTATGGGAGGGGCCAATCATCTCTTGGCCCCACTCCCGAGTCGTCCTCTTTGCTTTAGCTGCTCTTGCCTTCTGGCAGCTCTTCTCATACGTTCACTACAAACAGGCTCCTCCTGTTCCTCTGCCTCTCTACTGTCAGCCTCTGGAGGCTCCGGAGTCCGCACATCATTCCCCAATGGCCCTGGCCCCATCTCTGCCTTCAATGCAGAGCCCTCATCCAGGCCTTCCCCAGCCTCCAAGACTGGCCCATGTTCTTTCTCAGCCTCATTGCTGTCCGACTCCGCTGCCAGCTCTGCAGGCTGCTGGCGGACCACAACAGTCTCTTCTTTCCCCTCGCTGGGCATGACAGGGCTCTGCCCCTCGCTTAACCACCCATCCCCTTTAGGGATGCAATTTGGGGGTGGCAGGTGGGATGTGTTGGGCTGCGAGATGCGCATCTTACCTTCCCAGCTCCGTCGTGTTCCTTGCCGTTGTGTCCAGGGAAACATGTTGAAAAAAAACACCTTCTCGCGAGTTCAGTCAAACTCCTCAAACTCGCAGGAAGTTTTCTTTTACAACATGTTTCCCTGGACACAACAGTGAGGAACATGACGGATCTGGAAAGGTAAGATGCATGTCTCGCAGCCCAACATGTCCCAGCCCACCCCATTGGCAACAGCAGCCTGGCTGCTTCCCTTCCTGCCGTCTCTTTATTGAGAGGGGTGGCAGGTGGGGTGGGAGAGAAACAGATGTGTGGAGCAAGACGTGGCTCCCTTGCTGTCTCTTCTCCCCCCCCTCCCCCCCTCGCCGGGCATGACAGGGCTTCTGCCCCTCGCTTAGCCACCCTCCCCTTTAGCGATGCAATTTGGGGCTGGCAGGTGGGGCGGATGGCCAAGTGAGGAGTAGGAGCCCTGTCATGCCCAGTGAGGGAGGGAGAAGAGACAGCAAGGGGAGCCATGTCTCGCTCCACACATCTCGCTTCTCCCCCACCCCACCTGTCTGAAATGAGTCTTTGTGAGACTTAAAACAAATAAGACAGAGAATGGGGAGAGAGAAAGGAAAGAAAAAGAAAGGGAGAGGGAGAGGAAAAAGAGAATGGGGAGAGAAAGGAAAGGAAAGAAAAGGAAGGAAGGAAGGAAGGAAGGAAGGAAGGAAGGAAGGGGAAAAAAGAGAGAGAAACAAATGAGAAGGAGGGAGGGAGGGAGGGAAAGAGAGATCCATTTCCCACACACAGGGAAACCACAATACTCATGTATGGTACAACAATAAATTTATTATTGTAAATATTTATTATTTACTCCTTGTAGTAAATTTATTATTTACTACAAGGAGTAAATAATACACGGCCTACAAGGCCGTGCCGATCTGGATGGGGAGGAATAGGCTCAGGCTCAATCCATCCAAGACCGAGTGGCTGTGGTTTCCGACGTCCCGATATAGTCAGTTGGTGCCATCACTGACTATTGGGGGCGAATCATTGGCCCCCACGGAGAGGGCGCACAACTTGGGCGTCCTCCTGGATTCCCGGCTGTCTTTAGAAGAGCACTTGACGGCCGTGTCTGGGAGGATTTTTCATCAGGTTCGCCTGATT